GTGTATCTGCGGCTTTGTTGGTCACTGTAAGGAACATAAAGTTCTTGCCGTTGGCATTCTCCCAGGCTTTGGCTCGAGCGGCTGCCTGTTCAGGCTTGTTGGGCCACTGTCTGTCAAGAAAGAAAGATTCCAATTGCGCTCTGGAGGGCTGCTGAGTTCGAATGATGTGCAGGAACTCCAGCATTTCCGGCTCAATGGATCTGGAAAAGCCGTGGTTCTGTAGATCAATGCGATCCACAGTCCCAGCAGCAACCTGAGCGTCCAAGTCTAGCTGCAGTTGTGCCTGGCCGTGTACAGGCTGCAACTGTTGGAAGTCGCCTACAAACATAATCAGGGGACCAGGTTGAAGTTCACCAAGAGCTACCTTAAGATCCTCCCATACTTGGCCATCAATCTGCGAGACTTCATCGAAGATGATAACATCATATCGGCGAAGTCGCCCTGGAGGTATGTAGGCTGAGTCAGCGAGCCGAGTGATCTTGAATGCTGAGTGAATTGTTTCCATCGTTAGTCGATCACTTGCGGGTAGTTTCAGTTTGTACATTGCCACCAATAAGCCAATAGGCCCTGCAATGAGAACGCGACAGTCATCGTCGAGCGCGAGCTTGGCGGCTGCGATAACTACCTCGGTTTTTCCTGTGCCAGGAGATCCTGACACCTGAAGGATTCGATTGCGGGTGTTGGCAGCATCGTCGATCGCTAGTCCCTTTTTCAACCAATCGAGAACAGCTTGTTGTTCTACGGACCAGTGTCGTTGCGGCAAGCCAGGCAACTTGTGTGCTGTCCAGAATCCGGAATCCTCGAGGCCATCACGAATCTTCAACAACAGCAGGTTGGACGCTTGGATCTTAGCCTTGAAAGTGGAAATGCGGTCGGCATTGATTCCTCGTAAGGTGAGCTCAGGTTCGATGCTGGCGAAGAACTTCTCGAGATCGGGATTGTACGTGTCGGGGTCAGCGCCATCAAGCTGGAACATGTCCAGGCATAGCACAGCCTTAAGATGCTCGCACATTTTCGGCGCTACAAAAGAGCGACGACGGACGAGCTCGTGTTCATAGCCGGGGATGTGGAGGTTCGGAGATGTCGTCGGCAGAAGTCTTTCCTCTGTCGTTCCTGGCAAACACGAAGCAGCCCAGGCTCCTAGGTAAATGTCGAGAAGTTCAAAAGGAAATGATATTGCCACGCCGCAGGTCTTGTTTGCCGCCGGGCCGGCGACATTTCGGCGCTGTATGTTCATTTGCTTGCCATCGCCGACGACTTGATATTGTCGTAGCCATTGAATGAAGGTGAGACTGCGGGCATCGTTGATATCATCTTTCAAGCATCGCTGGTAGGCGAGGTACTGCTGCCGTGAATTGTTCATTGCTGAACTGCCAGGTATGGGCGCGTACAAGTCGAAACCACTGAAGGAATGCTTGACCATGGACAACCCAGCGAATTCCATTATGATCTCCTGCTCGGTCGGTGACTTCCTGCACAAGAGACGGTATGCTTGCTTCCAGCGGCTATCCTCGCTGGCAGCTTGCTTACTCACGAACTGCAGAGCATCTGAAGCTTTAGCAAGATAGCCCGCGACGTAGCGCATAAGGCAGTGTGTCCCTTCACCGCATTGTACGACAGCTCGGCACTTAAACATGGACTCGAGAATCTCCAAGAATGGGCTGGTGGTTTCGTTGCTGCGTGCAGTGACGTCGGCCGCTGACCAGCCAGGCATGAGATCAGCCCAAAGAACTGCATGCACGTGCAACGTCCCTCGTGCCTGGAACTCAAAACGGTAGCTCCAATGCTTGATGCTAGCGATGCCGAGGGACTTGAGTTTGCTTGGGTTTTTGAGGAGTTGCGATTCGAGCAAGGTCTGCAGCGTATGATGCAGGTGCAGCGTAATGAGGTCCTGCTGCTCGGACAGAGATGCATTGAATGTCAGACCATGCGGCAGCAAGTACCGCCATTCGGCTGGCGCGACCGTAAAGAACACGTTCGGTAGCGACTTGCTGATGTCTTGAGTACGTTCGTGTTCAACTCGACAAACGTCCTCCATTTTCCTGAGCTGGAGAAACCAGTAGCCTTCAAACATATCCTGATGAACAGAGGCATGCTCTGGCGCGATCTGCTTCTGATTGGCCACATTGATCAAGGATGTGATCGTCCGCCCCATGCACATGTCATACAGCAAAGCATGCAAAGGAAAATCTCTACTGTAATCTAGGCATCGGCTCGTGATTTTCCGCATAAAGCTGGTTCTTGTAGAAGGTTTGGCAGTTGGAGCTATTCTTCCCAAGGAAGTGAGCCGAGTCAAAATGTCACTGTCGCCGAAGCTAGCCACAGGGTAGAGAAGCGGTCTTGCGGCGACCTCAATGCCGGGCATGCCCAACAAAAGTTGGGCGGTAGGGATTTCGCGCCAATTCTCGGAAGTGATGTTGGCCGCCGCTAGCTGTCTGTGATGTTGTACCCAGAAGGCGTAGGTCTCGTTGTTTGCAACAAGCCAAGAGAAGGCATGGTTGGCAGCATCGGATCGCTTCAGCTCTGTGAGCGGGATTGCTTTCCAACGTCCACGAATAACAGCGGTCTTCTGTTTGCTAGTTGTGCTAGCATTGCCTCCACGTCGAGTCTTGTAGTCGATCTTGAGGTCTAACACTGAAAGACTGTTCACGTCTTCCGTGGACAGAGTTGCAAGCGGCAGCCCAGTCAATCCCATGTGCAGAAGCATTGGCTCCCAGTACTGAGATGTCGGTGTTACGTACGCATTCAATTTGCGAGACACAACTTCTTGCTCTGCCGGAATCAAGAGGTCTGTAGCATCCGGATCACAGCCAAGTTTGCATTTCAAAGCGGCACGCCCGGATATCAGTGTGTTTGTGGCGGTAGCCGGTCGGCGTCGCCCGCAATTGGGGCAGAACGTCACGTCCATGTACTAACCATTGGTCTATCTGATTGCTTGGATCCAGAACTGGTGCAACTCGAAGTTGTGGCTTCACGTGAACGATGCCAAAGATGTTCTCGAACTCTTTCTCCCATGTGTCATTGGCATGATCGGTGTTGGCGGCGAACCAGGTCCGAACCGTCGAACGTCGGCACCATTCGATCACAGAAGTCTTCGGAACGTAATTCTCAGCTGTTTGATCGATGACGCTAAATCCTGGTACTGTTCGATGTAGCATGTCTATGATCTGCTGCGGAGTTTCATAATTTTCCAATGCCTCTGCGAGTCCCTGTTGAAGCTCGGGAGACAAAGCTGCTCGTACTGACATCGCTGGCGCTGCTCGACTTTTGGGCTGGTTCACTGCCGGATTCAAGAGGGCAATAGCTTTTCTGAGAGCATCCGGCTTCTGAACCCAATTACGTAGAGTGTGCTTCGAGATGAACTTTGGAGTGTTCTGCTGCTCAGTGTTGAGGTCGGGAACAGCAGCACGCAACAGAGGCATGGCTTCCGTGAGCGAGCTGCATGTCGTCACGATGTCCAAGATCGTTGTTCTTTCATCTGCTGTGAAACGTGCCATGGGGCGGCGTTGATTGTTTGCTGGCTCTGAGGACGTGCTCGGCTTTGTTGTAGGCATCGGCGGCGGTGCTTTGACGCTGTCGGACTGCTCTTCGGAGACCTTGCTCTCGGGCTGGTCATTCGTTTTGTCCTCCTGCAGAAACAAATCAATCTCATGTTCCAAGAGTGCTTCGAGGTCGATGTCGGTCAAGGCTTGTGAGGTCGGACGCTTGCTCTGTGGTTGGTTTTGCTCGGAGCCGGGCCGCTTAGTACCTGGGTGGCAGCGGTCAGACTCGATGACCACATCAGAATCGCTGCTGACATCGAGGTCGATCACCTTGGATGCGGACATGTTGTCGTCGAAGCTCACAACGTCCTGTTCATAGAGAAGGATGTACGCCTTTTCGTCAGAAGGTAAATCGAATGTTGGTACCATTGTGATCACATGATCGTTGCATCGAAGGATTCTATCACCATGTCGCCGGTAAGCAAGATAATGTCCAGAATCCGCAGTGGCACCAATGTGCGAGACAATCGCTTGTAATTTGTACGTCTTGGTTCCTGCCTTTAAGCTGGGCTCGCACACGACGGGGTGTGTCAGGACTCCATCATTGTCCCATCGCTTCAACGTCATCATTAGCACATTTGGCCACTCGAGAATGCTGGTGCTCCAGAAGCAAGGGTCCTCTGCGACACCAGCATTCAAGCAATCTGCTTGCCAGCATGTCCACTCCTCGACGTCATTCTTAAGGTGCCTCTCCGAAAGGTAGCGGTCCATGGCGAACTGCACCGAGAACAGTGGCTGTTCGTATGCAATCGGCAGCTGGAGGACAAGGAACTTCTCCTGCGGTAGGTTGCGACTGTGACTGCAATGCTGACAACTCAATCGCGGCACTTCGGTTCCTTGAAGCACGTGGTGCAAGCTTGGACACTCAAGCAGCAAATAATTGAGAAACTCCGCTGCGTCTTCCTGTCGATTGTTGTAGTAGAGGTGGAGGATGTCATTAGGAACTCGCCGCTCAGAAGGCTGGTGAATGCCCTGCAAGATCGTATGTATGGCTTGTTCAGAGTCCGAGTTTGGCTTCAAGTGCTGACGCAGAGTACTCGAAGCGAAGATTGCTTGGATCGAGGAGTTGATGAAGCAGGATGCTCCAAGGTTTGCGAACCCCACTGCCGGCACAGGGGCAGCCATGTTCGAAAGACTGACAAAATCATAAATCTACCTTGAGCTTAACTGAACAGTCATCGGAATGCTTGAAGTTGCGCTGCATGCAGACAGCAGGTTTCAATGCCACAGCTATTTTTCTGGCGATGTGGTACTGCCAAAGATTCGCCCGCAAGAACTTTGAAATGCTGCACTGCAGTCCAAGAGCAAGAACTGAGACTTACGCACATCTCCGGCTCAACATCTGCATGTGCACTGGTATCCAGCTAATGAAGAGCACGAGGGTTTGTCACAAAAGAATCCAGTACTTGTTAATTTTATTAGCTATCAGAAAATGGAACTCGGCTCTATCGTAACAGTTTACGACTCAAACAATCCTGTTGCACTGCTGGCGGCACCTGCCGGCTGCGATTCTGGCGGCTTGTGCAACCGAGCTTTCATGGCAGTGACGAAATCCTCCACGCGCATAGGTTTCTCTGAGACGGCCGCGCGGGCAACGAGCTCGGCCACGTGCCCCGTGAAGAACGTGTTACTGGCCGCTGTGATGAACAAAAAGCTTTGAAAAGGGCTCTGCTCCTTGGACAACCAAGCGTGAAATTCTTGGGCAGCCTTGATGACCTGTGGCTCTGTCACATCCGGCTTAGGTGTGCTCATCTTCGCACGCTTTGCTTGTCGCAGAGTGCCTGTGTCTCGTTGATCCTGACTGCCTTTGCCAAGGTTCAACGTCTCAAAGACTGGCAGCATGACATTCACTTCCTCTTCGATCTTGGCGTAGAGCTCGTCTTTGATCAATGCTTTGACATTGTCGCTTTTGAAGTGTTTGACGGCCGCCACCAGGGCTGCGGCGGTTAGAGAGATGCCGGCGCCGATGTGCCACTGATCGCTGGTGGGTGCACAGAGATGGCTGTGATATTGGGCTTTGTGATTGCCTTTGCTCACTGCCTCCCAAAGCTTGGCTTTCGTCAAGTTGTTGATGACAGACTCGCCGTACGGTTCGATCAGCTGCATGGCAGTAGAATCGTATGGGTACAGCTTCGTCCTGCGAGCTTGACTGGTGTTCTGTGTCTCCGAGGCATTGCCACCGAAGCTGGATGCTCCAAACAGGCCCTCGGCCATGGCACTGATAGGATGCAATGACTAGAATATCAGGATCTTGAGCTGAAATTCTTGATCTTCAAGCTTCCGGTACAAAACAAATGGACTGTATGGCAAGCAGAACTCACACACACTTGTCTGAACTTTGATTGTCACAGTGCCTCAGCTATTTTTCTGACGATGTGGTACTGCCAAAGATTCGCTCGCAAGAACTTTGAAATGCTGCACTGCAGTCCAAGAGCAAGAACTGAGACTTACGCACATCTCCGGCTCAACATCTGCATGTGCACTGGTATCCAACTGATGAAGAGCACGAGAGTTAGCCACAAAGGAATCCAGTACTTGTTAATTTTATTAGCTATCAGAAAATGGAACTCGGCTCTATCGTAACAGTTTACGACTCAAACAATCCTGTTGCACTGCTGGCGACACCTGCCGGCTGCGATTCTGGCGGCTTGTGCAACCGAGCTTTCATGGCAGTGACGAAATCCTCCACGCGCATAGGTTTCTCTGAGACGGCCACGCGGGCAACGAGCTCGGCCACGTGCCCCGTGAAGAACGTGTTACTGGCCGCTGTGATGAACAAAAAGCTTCGAAAAGGGCTCTGCTCCTTGGACAACCATGCGTGAAAATCTTGGGCAGCCTTGATGACCTGCGGCTCTGTGACATCCGGCTTAGGTGTGCTCATCTTTGCACTCTTTGCTTGTCGCAGAGTGCCTGTGTCTCGTTGATCCTGACTGCCTTTGCCAAGATTCAACGTCTCAAAGACTGGCAGCATGACAGTCACTTCCTCTTCGATCTTGGCATAGAGCTCGTCTTTGATCAATGCTTTGACATTGTCGCTTTTGAAGTGTTTGACTGCCGCCACCAGGGCTGCGGCGGTTAGAGAGATGCCGGTGCCGATGTGCCACTGATCGCTGGTGGGTGCACAGAGATGACTGTGATATTGAGCTTTGTGATTGCCTTTGCTCACGGCTTCCCAAAGCTTGGCTTTCGTCAAGTTGTTGATGACAGACTCGCCGTACGGTTCGATCAGCTGCATGGCAGTAGAATCGTATGGGTACAGCTTCGTCCTGCGAGCTTGACTGGTGTTCTTTGTCTCCGAGGCATTGCCACCGAAGCTGGATGCTCCGAACAAGCCCTCTGCCATGGCACTGAACAGATGCAATGACTAGAATATCAGCATCTTGAGCTGAAATTCTTGATCTTCAAGCTTCCGGTATGGAGCAAATGGACAATATGGCAAGCAGAACTCACACTTGTCTGAACTTTGATATTCGCAGTGCATCAACTATTTTTCTGATGATGGGGGACTGCCAAGAATCGTCCGCAAGATCTTTGAAATGCTGCACTGCAGTCCAAGAGCAAGATCTGAGACTTACGCTCAGTTCCGGCTCAACATCCGCATGTACACTGATAGTCAACTAACGAAAGCATGAGGGTTACCCACAAAGGAATCAAGTACTTGGTAATTTTATTAGATATCATAGAACTGGGCCGATTTCGATCTACACACCTACTGATGCTTCAGAGGTTTGCCGGCGGCTCGACGGCTGTTCTTGGTCGGTTTACGACGGTCGAAGGCTCTTTGCAAACGAACACGACATTCCTCGGCAATCACGCTGTGCTGAACGGCAATGCGATTGATGGCAAGATCAGCTTCCGGCGCCTCGAGCTTCATCAACAATCGAGTAAGAAGACCTTTGGATTGATGTGCAACGGGAATGTTGGCGAGGTCACATAGAGGACATAAGCCGAGAGATCCTGTCAAAGATTTCGTGTCCTCGGAGCTAAGTAGACAACGGCCATCAAGTCCTTGACATGGATTGTTCGGCTTCTTCTTGTACGTTCCGCGTGACCTTCGAACTGGCCTGTTTGCGGCTCGTCTTTTGCGAGTACGCTCCATGCGTTCTCGACACTCTGCGGCAATGTCGGCATCTATGTGGTCTTCTATGCGCTTCAAAGCTAGCTCTGACTCCGATTCTTGCAGCTGAAGAAGGAGGTGTGTGAGTCGGCCACCCCCTTGGTAGTGTAGTTCAGGAATATCGTTCAGGTTGCAAAGGTCGCACCAACCTGAGGGACCAGCTGGTGCCCGACCTCCACAAGAGCCCATGCGACAATCACCGTCGACACCACGGCACAGCCCATGCCCTTCGTGATGCTTCCACTTGTCTAAAAGCATAGGGTTGAAACACCGATCAGATCGTTCTTTCTTAGCGGTACTCCCTGGCTTGATTGTGTTGTCAATTGCCGGAGCAGCGTCGGTGGTGTCCAAGTCGATGGATTCAAGCCGTTCTTTCTTAACAGAGGTCTTCGAAGTCCTCGCATTCTTCAGTGCTGGAGCATCATCGGGCATGTCTAAGTCGATGATGGTCGAGCAGGACTTCAAAGTCCACACCATCGCCAAAACAACACGCCCTAGGTTAAAGTGGTCTTAGAGCCGAAAACTACGAAACAAGTCCAGAAGTCTTCAGCGGAATCGTAAGCGACATCGAGGCAGAACTGAATAGCTGAGGTCACGGCCGAATCGAGTCGAGTTCCACGCAACCTGAGAGTCAAGAACATCGATTGGCATTGAGTATTATCTTGTCACAGATTTTATAGTTATAGAGTCAATCGAATCGAGGCCGCGGCTAGGAATTCAATCATTCTTCCGTCGTGTATTCGAAGAACCAAATGGCTGCAAGCTGAATATTGAAATCACCGAGGTTCAAAGCAATGGTTGCTTGTAGCACAGAAAAGACTGCCGCAGACGCATGTTTTTCACAATGATGCATAGATATGCATCGAGCAACAGGGAGCTAACTCTTTGAAATTCTGCTCGCTGATTGCCAATCGAAAACCACCGCCTCTCTCTAAGCCTCCTGATGACGCGAAGCCTAGTCAAACAAACCGCTGGCATCGGAGGATGCTGGGCCAGTGGTTTCACTGGGCTGCGGGATGTTACACAATCGAAAACCACCGCCTCTCTCAAAGTGCTTCTCACGACGTGAAGCCTAGTTAAACAAACCGCTGGCATCGGAGGCGGCTGGGCCAGTGGTTTCACTGGGCTGCGGGATGTTAGACATGCATGCTCGCATGGCCATTTCACAATCTTGGCTACTCATGGGCTTGTGATGCATCGCGGCTCTTGCCACTGTCTCTGCCACATGTGCCGTGAAGTACGCATTACGTCCCGACAAAATCAGCAAAAGGCTGCGAAACGGACTGCGCTCCAGGCGAAGCCATGTGTGCAAGGCAGTCGTGGCTTGCTTGATTTCTTCGAGACTTGGCAGTGAGGAGGTTGCTGTAGCACTGGCCTTGCGTTTCTTCGTCTCTCGCAAGCATTCACCATATCTGTGGCCTTGTGAGTCAGCGACTTTGCCCATGTTCAACGTTTTCAGCATCGGGTCGATGTAGACCAGCTCTGCTTCAACTTTCGCATAGAGGTTCGCTTGGATTAAGGCTCGAAGTTCGGGTGTGCGAAACTGATCCACAGCAGCAAGCAGAGCTGCGGCAGTGAGAGACAGCCCGGCGCCAACTTGCCGAGCGTTGTCGCTTTGCGACGCACAAAGATCACTGTGGTATGCAGCGGTCTGATTGCCGCGACAAGTTGCTTGCCAGACCTGTCGAAGAGTCAAGTCGTCGAACGAAGAAGAGCCATAAGGTTGCATGCTTTGCGAAGCAACGCTGTCGTGTGGGTAGACCTTGGTTCTGCGGTGTTTGGCTGCAAAGTCGGGCGTGTCCTTGGTCTCCACGATTGCAGCCTTCACGGGTTCATCAGCGGTGTTCTTGCTGGCACTGGCATTCACGACTTCAGGCACCGATGCCGCGTTGTGTTTCTCTGTGAACAACGAGGTGGACAAGTAGTCGACGTCATGCGACCGTGCATGTGCATTCTTGACTGAGACTCCCGGTTTCATGTAGATGAGCACATAGACTTTCTCGTCGGGTCTGCTCACGAAATATAGTCTGTTTGTCGGCAGCACTGGAGAAACTCGGTCGTCATCGAATTGAAGAAAGCCTTCAGCGGAACGACGATAAGCAATGTAGTGTCCCTGTTGCGGCGTAGCTCCGAGATGTGTTGCCACGGCCTGCAGTTGGTAGACGTGAGTGTCGATGACCAACTCGTCCTCGCAGCGAATCTTGTGGTTCAACAAGCCGTCGATGGAATCCCACCGTTTGAGACAGAGCATGAGCGTGTCGGGCCAAGCGTCGATTCGACATGAGTAAACGGGATTGTTGTGAGCTCGGTCCTGGTTCAAGCACTCGGCGCTCAAGCAGCACCACTCTCGCACGGGTTCGGACACATGGCTTCTGTCAATGTAAGCGCTCAAGGCCTGCTGCACTGAGGCGATGCCTGCCACCTGAAGCTGCAATGCCAAGAATAATTCGTTTGGAAGACGTCGATGATATTCGCAATGTTGGCAGCCAAGAATTGCTATCTCGGTTCCGGTGAAAATGTTGCGAATGCTGGGGCAGTCGTCCATTAGAGTCAGCAAGAACTCGCTCAAGTCTTGCTGTGCGCCTCGATAGTAAATGTTGGTAATTTCCATCGGGACGGTCGCACATCTGGTTGTACTCGCCGTTGTTAGAACACTTCGCAAGGCTTTTTCGGCATCTGTACCTTCCATACTCAACACTGCTCGAAGTTGTGGAAGTTGAAGCAGGCACTGCAAGCCCGCGTTAACGAAACATGAGTTGCCGAGGTTCTTGAATCCAAAGGACGACATTGCGTCGAGCCACGCGGGGAACCTTGAGCAGACTGATGTCTATGCAAACACAATACTTGAAGGCAGGACACAAGGAGTGCAGCCAAGTTGTTCTATGCCATAGACGGGCAAAGAGTCAGTTGTTACTAGCATGGAGCGATGTCGAATGAAATACGCTAAACCTTAATTTCCCTATGGTGTCAACACCGTTGCTTGCTTGTTTTAAGTAGAGCAAGTAAAGGATTGAAGTTGCTGCTGTCGCTCAGCCGTAAAATTCCCATGGTGTCAACAGCGTTGGTTGCCTGTTTTAAGTAGAACAAGTAAAAGATTAAAGTTGTTGCCGTTGCTAAACCCCAATTTCCCTATGGTGTCAACACCATTACTTGCTTATTTTAAGTAAAGGGAGTAAAAGATTGAAGTTGCTGCTGTCGCTAAACCATAAATTTCCTATGGTGTCAATACCGTTGCTTGCTTGTTTCAAGTAAAGCAAGTAGAAGATCGAAATTGCTGCTGTCGCTAAACCCTAAAATTCCTATGGTGTCAACACCGTTGCTTGCTTGTTTTAAGTAAAGCAAGTAAAAAATTTAAGTTGCTGCTGTCGCTAAACCTTAAAATTCCTATGGTGTCAACACCGTTGCTTGCTTCTTTTAAGTAAAGCAAATAAAAAAATTAAGTTGCTGCTGTCGCTAAACCTTAAAATTCCTACGGTGTCAACACCGTTGCTTGCTTGTTTTAAGTAAAGCAAGTAAAAAATTTAAGTTGCTGCTGTCGCTAAACCTTAAAATTCCTATGGTGTCAACACCGTTGCTTGCTTCTTTTAAGTAAATCAATTCAAAAAATCTTTTGCGGTGGCTTCTGCTATGTGAACGAGGACACATAAAATGAAGGGAAAAGACCTATGATTGCTGTCGTCGAACGGCAAGGTCACTGGCTAGTGGTTGAACGGTCATAGCAAAGAAACTTGTGAGGAGATTCAAGTCATGACATGCAACAGCTCTGCTTGCTGTCGTAAAGCGATGGCGTGACCGCAGCCTCAACTGTTGTGGGTAGTGCTTGCTTCTTATAGTACCTTTCAACACTCTTAACGGTAACCCACGGTCTGCTGGCCTCCGTTAACGCGCGCGCCAGTGCGCGCGCGCGCTTTGTAGGAGCCCTGGAGCGCAAGGCCCAGGCCCGGGCCTTGCTCTTCTCAGCTCGGCCGCTGTCTCCGGCTTCAGGTCCTGTAGGGGTAGCCACGTTACGTTACCGCCCTAGGCTTCCTTTAAAGAGTCGCCACGAGGACGGCACACTAAAACGCTTTTTTTTGATTTTTACATGTAAATAACACAGTTCCAGCGAAGTCCGGTTTCGAACAGCATTGGAAGCCTTAGCAAAGTAAGCTCTTGGGAGCTGTCTCTAAGCTTTCTCTATATGGTTTTTGTACGATCTAAACCACTGAATCCTTGTTAAGCTTAAAAAAACTTACTAACAAGACAAATCGAACTCAAATCTGGAAAAAACTAAATCAGCAGGTCGGATTTTGACGACTTGCTCCTTTCCAGCTGTTATCCATATCCCCCGCATGAAATGATCTAACTAAGCTAATATCCGCGTGTTAAATCATTTCGTGCAAACGATAAAAATAGCAAATTTCGTGGATCTGAGGATCGATTTTTTTTCTTCGTTTAAAGACCTGGCTACAAGTTTATGGTTTGATCCCTTTTGAATATGCGATCGTTTTAATAAAAAACGAAGTTATCCAGATTCAGTGGTTTAGATCGTACAAAACCATATAGAGAAAGCTTAGAGACAGCTCCCAAGAGCTTACTTTGCTAAGGCTTCCAATGCTGTTCGAAACCGGACTTCGCTGGAACTGTGTTATTTACATGTAAAAATCAAAAAAAAAGCGTTTTAGTGTGCCGTCCTCGTGGCGACTCTTTAAAGGAAGCCTAGGGCGGTAACGTAACGTGGCTACCCCTACAGGACCTGAAGCCGGAGACAGCGGCCGAGCTGAGAAGAGCAAGGCCCGGGCCTGGGCCTTGCGCTCCAGGGCTCCTACAAAGCGCGCGCGCGCACTGGCGCGCGCGTTAACGGAGGCCAGCAGACCGTGGGTTACCGTTAAGAGTGTTGAAAGGTACTATAAGAAGCAAGCACTACCCACAGCAGCTGAGGCTGCGGTCACGCCATCGCTTTACGACAGCTAGCAGAGCTGTTACATCAAGTTTCTCTGCGATGACCGTTCAGCCACTGGCCAGTGACCTTGGCGTCCGACAGGAGCAATCATAGGTCTTTTCCCTTCATTTTATGTGTCCTCGTTCACATAGCAGAAGCCACCGCAAAAGATTTTTTGAATTGATTTACTTAAAACAAGCAAGCAACGGTGTTGACACCATAGGAATTTTAAGGTTTAGCGACAGCAGCAACTTAAATTTTTTACTTGCTTTACTTAAAACAAGCAAGCAACGGTGTTGACACCGTAGGAATTTTAAGGTTTAGCGACAGCAGCAACTTAATTTTTTTATTTGCTTTACTTAAAAGAAGCAAGCAACGGTGTTGACACCATAGGAATTTTAAGGTTTAGCGACAGCAGCAACTTAAATTGGTTTAGCGACAGCAGCAACTTAAATTTTTTACTTGCTTTACTTAAAACAAGCAAGTAACGGTGTTGACACCGTGGGAATTTTAAGGTTTAGCAACAGCAGCAACTTGACTTTTTTACTTGCTTTACTTA